CGTGAAAACCAAACCTCTCAGAATTTTCCAACTAGGCCAAACCCTAATATGGGGAGAGGTGGTGTTGGGAGAGGGCTGGGAGTACCTAAAACACCTCGTGATGATATACAAATTGTGTGTTTCAAGTGCCAACAGCCTGGGCATAGGGCATTCAATTGTCCCTCACGTCAACCCCTGTCAAAGTTAATTTGGCTGAAGAAAATTATGAAGAAGAAGTCGATGAAGGATACACCTATGAAAGCCAAGGTGATATTGGGACGAGTCAGTCTTATGAAGGAACTGAGCCTTTCAAAGGTGAGATTGAGGTGTTGTACAGAGATGAAAGCGGTGAAGCCTTAATTGTCCAGCGAACAATATTTTTCAAACAACTTGCACATCAAGACGCAAGTTATACACAATACTAATTGATGGTAGGAGCAGTGAAAACATTGTGCCTAAAGAGATGGTGGATAAACTTCAATTGAATGAGCATAAGCACCCACGCCCATATCACATCCAGTGGTTCACGAAAGGAGGTGAGATACCAATTCTTACTCAGTGTTTAATCTCTTTTTCCATTGGTGCTAATTATAAAGATGAAGTGTGGTGCGATATAGCACCTATGGATGCATGTCACATATTATTTGGTAGACCATGGCTTTATGATTATAATATGGTGCATAAAAGTAGACCAAACACTTATTCTTTTGTCAAGGATGGTATTAATATCACACTCCACCCTATAAAACAACTTCCTACACCAAAATCCACTAATGAGGAGGATCCAAAGTTGCTTGATGTGCAAAAATTAAAAGGGGGCAGCAAGGATATGGATGTGATTTATGTGTTGCTTGCAAAAGAAAATCCAACACGAACAGCAATTCCTAGGTCTATTGAACCTATACTTAAGAAGTATAAAGATTTGATGCCTGAAGACCTGATCATCTTCCTCCAATGAGAAATATTCAGCATCACATTGACTTGGTCCCTGGTTCTAACCTACCAAATTTGGCCCATTATCGAATGAGCCCCATGGAACATGAAGAGTTGCACAGACAAGTTGTTGATTTGCTTAAGAAGGGATTGATTCGAGAAAGCATATCACCATGTGCTGTCCCTGCATTACTGACTCCAAAAAAAGATGGGTCATGGAGGATGTGCGTAAACAGTCGAACGATCGACAAAATTACAATCAAGTACCGATTTCCCATACCCAGGCTCGTTGATATGTTAGATATGCTTAATGGAGCCAAGGTTTTCTCAAAGATTGATTTAAGGAGTCGGTACCATCAAATTCGGATTCGTCCTAGGGATGAATGGAATACCGTATTCAAAACTCGAGATGGACTACATAAGTGGCTTGTGATGCCATTCTCATGCACCAAGCACATTCATGCGCCTAATGACTGAGGTACTTCGTTCTTTTATTGGTAAATTTGTAATGGTTTATTTTGATGATATCTTGGGTTTTAGTGCTAACCCACATGATCATCTCAACCACTTGGACCAAGTTTTTGATGTGCTAAGGAAGGAATCACTTTTGTGAATTTGAAAAAATGCTAATTTATGACGGACAATGTCGTCTTTCTGGGGTATGTTATTTCATCTGAGAGAATTAAGGTGGATCAAAAAAAGGTGAACACCATAGTTGAGTGGCCGGTGCCAAAGTCACTCACTGAGGTACGTTCTTTTCATGGCCTAGCGACCTTTTATCGTCGATTTATCAGAATTTCAGCACTCTAATAGCACTAGTAACTGATTGTATGAGGGCTGGAAAGTTTTCATGAAGTCCCGCTGTTAAAAAGAGCTTCACTTTAATTAAACAAAAGATGATGCAAGCACCAATACTTGCCTTACCAGATTTTTCTAAGGTGTTTGAGGTTGAAACTGATGCATCAAATGTTAGCATAGGGGCAGTTTTAAGTCAAGAGGGGTGACCAGTAGCCTTCTTTAGTGAGAAATTGAATGAGGCATGTAAGAAGTATTCGGTCTATGACCTCGAGTTTTATGCAGTGGTGCAAGCCTTGCACTACTAGAGGTGCTATCTGATTCATAGGGAGTTTGTTCTATACTCAGATCATGAAGCACTCCGGTATTTGAGTTCCCAGAAGAAGTTGAATGCGCGACATGCCAAGTGGATGGCCTTCCTTCAAGAATACACCTTCCTATTAAAGCACAAGGCTGGAACCCAAAATAAGGCAGTTGATGTTTTAAGTAGAAGGGTAGTGTTGCTTAGAACTTTATTTATGAAAGTGTTGGTTTGAAGTGATAAAATATCAATATAAAGTTGATCCAATTTTCAGCAAGGTCCTTAAAAGATGTGTTGATGGGCAAGACCCTATGAGTGAGTCTCTCACGCATGATGGTTGTTTATTTAAAGGTGTGCAGTTATGTATACCTGATTGCTCCCTAAGGGAGAAGTTAATCATGGAGCTTCATGGTAGGGGCTTAGATGGGCATTTAGGGAAGGACAAAACTATGGCTATGGTTGGAGAAAAGTATTTTTGCCAAATATGCGAAGGGATGTTGATCGATTTGTGACCCGATGTCGAACTTGCCAAGTCTCTAAAAGTCACACACAAAATATGGGTCTTTATACTCCTCTTCCTGTTCCAGATGCCCATGGGTTGATATCTCCATAGACTTTGTACTTGGACTTCCACATACCACACGAGGTATGGACTCTATTTTTGTTGTTGTTGATCGATTTTCCAAAATGGCACATTTTATTCCTTGTAGGAGAACTATGGATGCTACACATATTGCCAATCTCTTTTTCAAAAATATTGTAAGGCTACATGGTGTTCCTAAGTCTATTACATCTTATCGGGATACAAAATTCTTAAGTCATTTTTGGCGCACTTTGTGGAATCGGATGGGAACTAAACTTCAATTTTCTAGTGCCTATCATCCTCAAACAGATGGGCAAACCGAAATAGTGAATAGGAGCCTTGGTAACTTCTTGAAGAGTATTGTTGGTGATAACATATCTCAGTGGGACCTCGCTTTGCCCCAGATTGAGCTTGCTTACAACAGTTCAGTGAATCGGTCCACAAGAAAATCACCATTTGAGATTGTTAAGGGGCAAACTCCTAATCATGTGCTGGACCTAGTGCCATTACCCATGCCAGGCAAGATAAGTGATGATGCCAATGCTTTTGCTGAGCATATTCGAGATTTGCAAGCTCAAATCAAGAAGAAAATTGAGGAAAGCAATGCAAAGCATCAAAAAGCCTCAAACAAGCATAAAAGAGAGAAAATTTTCAAGAAGGGTGACCCAGTAATGGTGTACTTGCAAAAGGAGAGGTTTCCATTAGGAACCTATAATAAACTCAAGTCCAAAAAGGAGGGCCCTTGCCGCATTTTGAAGCAATATAGGAACAATGCATATAAGGTGGAATTACCAACGGCATTGGATATCTCCCCGATATTTAATGTTGACTTATTTGAGTTTCATGGAGACCCTCTAGAAATCAAAGAAGAAGTAGTTGATATGATGAAGCAATTACCGAGAAAGAAAGCTGAGGAAATTGAGCAAGTTTTGAAGACTGAAAGCTTTCAAACTCGAAAAGGTCCTATCACCAATATCTAGTCAAATGAAAGGGCAAGCCATAGTCTGATAGCACGTGGATTTCTGAGCAAGTGTTCAAAAGGGTGGATACAGTCTTATATCGCATCTATAAAGAAGTCAACTCGTCGGAATCGAGTTCCTTTCAATTGGGGGAGGGAATGATGCAACCATGCCCAAGCCAATAGTTCCTGGCTGGGCCAGGAAGGGTCGACGAATCCAAGAGAGAAAGAAAGGGCAATGATGTAATAAGGGGGGATTATTAGGGTTATTTTAATTATTCTTTTGTTTAGGGAGTGCACAAGGATAACTAGGTGGGCATGGGTTTATCATGTGTTTGATATTGATTAGTTGGGTTGGTTAGTTTGGAATGTAAATATGATAAGGTTAAATCTAAGGGGAGTTTCATCTTTTCAACAAGAGGAAGGCTTTGGATAAAACGTGAGAGAGAAAATAGGTACATGAGGTTAAGAGATGGGGGTAGCTTAAGAGATTGGGGTAGGTTAAAAGAGAGAAAATAGGAAAGTATTGATCTTTTTTTAGTCTATTTATGGGAGATTTTCTTTCATTGTAAATCAGTGAATAAATTGAATAGAATTTGGTCTCGTTAAGAGATTGTATTAGGGTGAATTCCCTTGAAGACCTTTGGGAAAGGGTATAGTCTCTCAATCTTTCTTTCTTTTTATTGTTAGTTTTGTGGTTTTATTTTCTCCCTGCACAATATGATGGTGGGTAAGCATTGAAGGCACCTCACGGATGAGGTGAAGGGTAAGGTGGTGGGTAGGCATTGAAGGTTCACCGAGGTGTTGGGTAGGCATTGAAGGCATCCTCCATTTCATTCATTTCTCTCAGCCCTCTTAGCGCCTGAATAACAAACCCTGTTTGGAGCGACTGAACTTCAACGGCAAGACAGACGAGCACTCGTAGAGGCAGAAACGCAAAGCAATGGCGGCTTGGCGCAGAGAGTGATGAGAAAGAGAGAGAGATGGGTTTCAATAGAGAGAGATGAGCGAGAGAGGGGTTTACAGTCTTAAATCTCCTAATCATTCTATCTTTTCAACGCAAAAATGAGAGGGAGGTTCAAAAAATTGAACTTTGAATTGGTCAAACAGCAGAGGCCCAGACAACCAGCTTTAATTCAATTTTTCGGCTTAATATAGATTCCAGCTCCAACACAGGGCCAAGGAAGTAAATTGGCACCAAGACCTGCATATACATAACATACCGAAGACTTGGCAAAATGATTTGGCTTGCTCCACACAGACAGACGCCAAAAGAAAACACAAATCAATTCCCAATTCCGGTAACCACAAAAGCTTCAATTCACCAAAAGGAAAACTTATCTCGACAAACAGAGGAGAATCAACCACAAAAATCAATACCATAATTCAAAATTAAACAAAATTCAGGCGATATTGAACCTAAAGAAATTAAAAAATAAAAAACACATCACCTGGTTTTGAATCGGGAAAGCCCTAGCGCACCACAATCGATCAAAATCTCCATCATGAAGCTGACAAGAGCAAGGAGGCAGAGGGCCACACCCTCAACCAATAGCGAAGAGGGGCTTCTGAAAACAGAGAATAAAACGCGAGCGATGATCAGAAAAACCACCACTCTCTCTCCGACCAAAATTCCGGCCATTTTCGTCGGGAAAACTGCGAAACTCCGGCCAAATGGCGAGGGTCGAATGCCCGTTGAAGGGCTTCGGTCCTACGCGTCCGGCCAAATGGCGATGGTAGAATGCGGGCTTCGGTCCTACGCGTCCGAACTACGCGTCCGAAGCCAAAGTCCAAGCAGAACTCTGTCCTGGGTTTAAGATATTTGGGGTGCAGTTATCACGCGGATGCCTATGCGGATGCCTATGGAGGTCTTGAGACACGGTTTAACTAATATACACCGTCCATATATTTCGACGGTCATGATCGCAGAGTAAAGAAAAGGGCAAAACCCGTGATCGCCGGTAGCCAATTTTGCTTCCTTCAGCACGTCTCTGCCGCACCAGGCCCTCTGCCCCACCAGACCTGGAGACCAGACAGGAGCACCAGGCCCTCTGCCACACCAGACCTGGAGACCAGACAGGAGGAAGAGGAATTTAGAAAGAGAAAGATGGCATAGTTGGATTGAGAGAGAAAATGAACAGATGTTTAAGAATTGAGAGAGAGAAAAAAGGAGAGAGTTGGGGTGAGTAGAAGGAGAAAAAAAAAAAAGTTCAGACCGGACGCTTTGGAGCCACGGGAGGTAGAGGAATTCAGAGAGAGAAATAGGGGAGAGTTGGGGTGAGTGAGAAACAAGAAGAAGAGAAGTTGAGATTAGAAGCCTCGGGGTTATAGGGCGTGCAGTCATAAGCTTCCCGCAAGTTATTGAAGCTCAAAACCTTCATCATGTTTTTTGGAACAACATCTTCAGGTAATGATGCATCAAATCGATTTTAATATAACGATTCTTTACAGATCCACTATGATGCCCATGTTTTTGCATCGGTATCCCATGTTATTAAACCCTAAATCACCCATCCGTTTTTTTTTTATTTTTTCTCTCAAATCAAAACCAAACAATTTAATAATTAATTCAAATCATTCATAATTTATCTATTTAGAAAAACACTAAGGTTATTTTTCGGATCAATTGAAAAATTTGTAGAAATTGATGTACAAATTTTTCTATATATATTCATGTTATATATCCAAAAACTTCCACCCTACTTCCGTCTTGGCATATCAAGCATTTTTTGGGCATTCCTTTTTGTATAGGGCACCACGTATGTTCGTTGTGTCTTTAAATTTCGCCATTTTGTAATAATTTTTATAAATTTAATACAATGTTAACCTTAAAAAAAAAAAAAATGGTCATCTAATTTTTTTATTAAAAAAATGTTCTATTTGGTGTGAATCTTTTTTTTTTAAGCTGAATTTGCTTTTTTGAAGTGTTAAGCTTAAAAACCAATAGTCACTTAATTACTGGTGAGGCTAAAAACCAATGGTTGAACTATCCTGAACTTGTTGGTATATTGATAAGTGGTAAATCTGCTCTATCTGTATATTGATTGAAAAAGGTACACACTCTTTAATCAACTCAATTTGGGGATGGCTTTTGTTGTATGAGACAACTTTGTATTGATGTGAATGTAGTTTGACTCAATTTGGGGATGGCTTTTGCTGAATGAGACAACTCAATGAAGCTTTTGCTTACTCATGGAATCAGCACAATTTGGGGATGGCTTTTGTTATATGAGACAACTCTATATTGATGTGAATGTAGTGTCATCAATGTTAATATTTATGGCTCAATTTGGAGATGGCATGTGTTGTATGAGACATATTGATGTGAATGTAGAATCATGTGGCTCAATTTCATGTTAATATTTATGACTCAATTTGGGGATGGCTTTTGTTGTATGAGTCTGTATTGATGTAAACGTTGTGCCTAATGTTTTAAAAAATAGATCGATGACTCGGATCGAGCACTTCAAAAACCAATCTGGATCGGTGAATCGGCGATTCGGATTGGAAATCAGTCGGAGTAAGCCTTAAAAAAAATCTGAAAAATTTATTAAAATTCATTATAAATGTTGTTTTTTAGGAATCCAATAAGAAATGAGGGTACTCCATTAAAAAATTTCAATTTTTTGCATGAATATGCGAATATTGATATATTCTTTCCCGGCATGAACTATTGTTTCCCATTTAGTTTACATCACACAAAAGTGGGCACAATCCCAACTCAATTAAAATGATCACATATAGTCATACATCTCAATTACAAAAATGCAAGATAATATAATAAAAAATGCAAGCTCCAAACATGCCTACAACTCAATTATCAAGAATATATATACAATTTATGTATCAACACATATTTTTTTGCATTAAAAATTTAATAATAAATTTGAAAAATGCAAGATAATATATTTATCATACGTGCCACGATTTTTTTACAATGATATTCATACAGTTAATACCAATAATATATATACATGCCACAAATGATATTTACAATGATATAGTCATTCAAGATAATATAGTGATAAAATATTTATTAATCATATACATACATTTTATGCATTAAAATTAAAAAATACAATTTTAAATTAAAAAATTAAGAACATGTATTTTTTGCATCAATAATCTATCAACATGCAATTTTTTGCACTACAAAGTTAACAATAAAAATTAAAAATACAGTTTAACTCCTCATGATAATCAAAATCTGGCCACGATTTTCACAATTTTTTAGAAAATCACGATTTTTCAAAAAAATTGATCACCAAAAAAAATTATTCAAAAAACACAGCCACAACTCTTCTTCATTTGAAATCAAGCAACAAAAATTGCTTAATCCAACAAATTACACCCAAAATTAATTGAATTAAAGTATTACCTTAAAAAACCCTCTAAAATAATTCATAATAGTACTTTAATTCATCTCATATTTGTAGTTTGGCAGAAAAAAAAAAAAACCCTAACTGTTCTTCACAAAATTGTGACTCAAAATCGAAAATCTTTATTAACGATATATATACATTTTACGCATTAAAATTTAAAAATATAGTTTTGCATTAAAATTTTAACAACATGTATTTTTTTGCATCAATAAGTTATCAACATGCAATTTTTTGCATTAAAAATTTAACAATAAAAATTAAAAATACAGTTTAATTCTTCATGATAATCAAAACCTTATCACAATTTTGACAATTTTTCATAAAATCACCATTTCTCGAATAAATCGATCATCACAATTTTAAAAAAAAAAAAAAAAACAGTTCTTCACTAACCCACCTGACATCAGTCAATCCAACTCGAAAATCCGCCTCAAATCAAATAAATTACATCAAATTGAATACATGTTATGATAAACAACACTATAAGGAATCAAAGCCCTATAATATTAACACATTATTATCAAAAATTGAATAAAATTGATTGGATGGCAAAAAAAAAGAAAACGTAGTTCTTCACAGACCCACCTGACATTAGTTATTCCATCTTAAAAATCAAGCTCAAATTGAATAAATCAGATCAAATTGAATACATGTGATGATAAACAACACTATAAGGAATAAAAACTCTATAAAATTAACATTTTATTTGTAAATAATTGAGTAAAATAGATTGAATGGTGGGAAAAAAAAAAAAAGACGCAGTTCTTCACAGACATTAGTCATTTTTTCTAAAAAATCAAGCTCAAATTGAATACATGTGATGATAAAAAACACTATAAGGAATAAAAACCTTATAAATTTAACACATTATTTGCAAATAATTGAGTAATATCGATTGAATGGCGGAAAAAAAAAAAAACGCAGTTCTTCACAGATATCAATCATTTTTTTAAAAAAATCAACCTTAAATTGAATAAATCAGATCAAATTGAATACATGTGATGATAAACAACACTACAAAGAATCAAAACCGTATAATATTAACACGTTATTTGCAAAATATTGAATAAAATTGATAGAATGGTGGAAAAAAAAAAAAATCGTAGTTTTTACCTGTTTTTCCTGCACCCTGTCTTCAAATTCAAATCTGATATGTAATCGTCTAAAATACTCACAAATTATGAACAACAACTTCTAAACAACACTCTTAAGATCAATAACCCTTAGATTTTACAAAAAATGATTCCTTATTTTGCTTGAAATCAGAAAAATGGCATATCCCTAAAAATCACGCTTTGTTCTTCACAGATCCAAATATTTGTGATCAAACGATGATTTCTACAACAATTTATTGACTGAAATGTCTGAAAAGATTAAAGTAAAGGCTAAAAGATTCGATTACAAAGCTGAAAAGGATGAATGATAAAAAAAAAATTGACAAAAAACCATGAATCCCGTGAAGAACACTGTGCAGCCCGTGTTTTACTATTGGGAACCGGCTTGACTCGGCGATTCATTGTTGGGAATCGCCCGGTTCTCTCTAGACACGGGTGATTCTCGGTATTTTAGTGGAACCGTGCATGTTCTTGAGTCAAACCGGACGAGTCCGGTTCTACTCGCTGACTTTTGAAACATTGGTTGTGCCAATCAATGTTAACATTTATGTCTATTTATGAACAGCTTTGTATTGATGTGAATGTAGTGCCCATCAATGTCAACATTTATGTCTATTATAAACAACTCTTCTAGCTATCCTCTCTTATTTTTCACTATCACTATACTAAAAATTGCATAGGCAGCACCTAGGAAAGTTTAGTTTCAGGGTGCAGTTTTCATACGGATGTCTATTAAACCCTTCTCTCTAAATATATTTCCTCAATGTATTGGACGTAATTTTTTTTTTAGGTGGATAGCTATTTTTAATGACTGTTTCACAATTATAATGTGATAAATCATTTATTGATAGTTGTTTTCACAAATGGTTGTTTGAAAGATGGAGCAAGCCCCTCATTTTAGGTACATGGGCATAGATACAGAAAAGAAGGATATCATTGGAATTTCCCCAATTTTTAGGATATGGATACATATGCAAGTATCCCATCTAACACATCTATAGATATACAGTTTACATGTATAATACATAAATATATGCATCCAAAACCCTGATATATATATATATATATATATATGGAAAAAGCTAGGATTAGCCTATTAGCTCATATGAACATATGAGCCCAACGGCCTAGATTAAATCTAGGCCGATTTGACGATCACGGATGTCTGGTAGTGTTTAAATTTTATTTTTTTCTACAAATCCAAATCACTTATAATTTTAAGTATGTATTCTTCTCATCAAGGCACACAGGGGATA